CACAACTGGAAAACACCATGTGGAACTGGCTTTATTTGATAATTTTTCTGTGTTGGAAGAGAATAACAGGAGAAATAAACAAGAGTGCCCTCAATCTACAGAAGGTAAAAGGATGGGACTAAAGCAAATAAAGATCAACTTATAAATAATACTAAGTATTAAAGATAATTTTTAAAAACCAAACCAGAAACACATTGTAAAAATAACACTAAATAGCAAAGCTGCCAAAAGACAGCAGGATACAGCCTTTTCATCTGTTGGTCTGAATTTGATAGTCATAACTTTCATGAGAGAAAAGGCTCAAGTACTTGACAGACTTCAGAGAAAACCTGTTTGGTATTTGGTGAGAAACAAGTCCCTGCCAGAAGCAGATGGCAATGTGAACTGCTCCTCTGGAAGGAGTAATCACTTCTGTGGTGGGAGAAGATAATGCATCCTGAGACAACAGGACACAGAAACATCACACTGACAAATCCTCTTGACACAGCAAACGAAGAGATTTCATCATCAAGAGATTGAGAAAATCTCCTGTAACCATTTGTATTGTATCAGTAGAGAACTGCTATCATTCAGTAGGGCTTTACAATGAAGGAAGTTAAACACTAGGTCCTAGGGAAAAAGACAGATTTGGAATGTACATCCACAAAGGTGATCAGGGTCAATCTCTTTTTCTGACACACAGGGATTTTTCTTTTTCCCACTTTTAAGTTGTTCATACTGTACATTCATACGCAAGATAAAAACACTGCATGCCAGGTACAGTCTCTGCAGTACAACGCAGCATTTTTCCTTTGAAACAAGATTTATTTGGAAAGATTTATTAACCAGTCGCTGAAGTCACAGATGCACCAGATGCTACAGTCTACTCCTGTAGACATCAGATAGCACTGACCACACAGTGACACCTCAGAACCATACTGAGTGTGCAGCAGCCAGGGAGAGCTCAGGGCTGCCCCAGGATGGGCCCAAAACTCACAGTGGCATTGGGCAGAAGCAAAAAAAAAAAAAAAAAATAAAGAAAAAATGCAATGGCATTGGGCAGAAGCAAAAAAAAATAAAAAATAAAGAAAAAATGCAGGCGGATACGTGCACAGACCCAGCACCATTTTAATCCAGATTCCTCTCCTAAATGTCTGCACTATTTGTGGAAACACATGAGAACAGAATTGCAAAATGAATGATGGATATTCCTCCTGGTTGTGAGTGGGACCAGGCCACAAGTGCCTTGGGTTAGTGGCTATTTTGTCAAGCAGGGAAGAGAAAGAGGCTGAGTTCCTGCAGGACAGCATGGTCCCCATATTGCAGGGAAGGAACAAGCACAGCAACATCATGACACCTTGTAAAATCATTTGCATTTATTTGCATGAACATGAAATCTCTGTAGACCCCCAGACCTTGCACACTATTAAGAAGTTACCACCAGCTGTAACCATCTCGCAGCAAAAAGCTATCATTTCGATGAAATACTAATTGCAGAGCACATCCTCCTAGGGCTCCTCAGAGAGGAGTGAAAAGCTGTGGGGAGGACTGCACACGCAGCTCATTTGCATCAGTTGTCCTTATTATTCCTCCAGGTTCTCTTTTCTTTCTTCAATATCAATTATAGTTCATGCTGTGACAACCATGGGGTGTAAAGGGAATGATGGGGAGGCATGTTGAGTGACTGGCAGACATTTCAGGAGGTTTAACTTACCCTACTGCATCCCATTTTTCCCCTAATTCCTTATTTTTTCCTAATTTCCTTTTTCTCTCCCCTAAAACACAGGATATGCTCAGGAATATATTGCATCTAGGCAAAAGACCTGATGGAAACAAATTCCTGCTTTCTTTGCATAAACAACCCTGTTGATCTTCTCCACAGACAATGCACAAATAGCTGTGGATATCCAGAGCTTTCGCCCATGTTTGGGAAGGTCCCGAACGGGAGGCATACTCCTGACTGCTTACTCTGTGCAGGTTTTGTAGCGACATGCAAGGGGAAACAATGCTTCCAAATTGTTTGGGGCTTCAAACAGGTCAACACAGGTCTCATGTCAGCTGCTCTGGAGATCACCTAGAACTGACTTAACTCAAAAAAAAAAACCAAAAAAACCCCAGGATTTAATTTAACAGACTCCTCTCTCAGAGAGTTAATTGAGTTAATTTTCACCTGAAAAGATCACGAAGCAGCAGAAGTGTGAAATCTGATAATACCACCAAAGCAAGGTCCTCCTCCCTGTTTTTTGGTTTCCAAGCAAGGTCTGCACATAGTGCCCAAGTATTTCCCTATGCACATACAGCCATTTGGTCATGATTTGGACATACATCAACAGAAAGACTTGCAAAGCTTTCACTCCAGAGCAAATTCACTTCCCTCCCATGCTGTCTTGCCATCAGACTGGCCAGCTGGGAAGAAATGGATTTCAGAAGTGCAAACTGACTGAATCTGTTTCAAAAAAAAATAATCACCATAGATCTAAAGTTTACCTAGGTAGTTCAAATAGCACCTGAGTTAGTATCATGTTATGTCTAGACACCATGCATACCAAAACCACGCTCCTGGAAATATTGGCTCGTGTTTCTTGGTAAGAGAATAAGCTTGGTATTCAGTACAGACTGCAGAAAATGGAAACCTCAAAAGATTTTAATTTGAAAAGGCCTTTTTGAAGGATGGAATACTTGGAATTTCAAGTGGCAGTATTTTACACTGATTATCTTTCCATAAATGTCAGGGTAATTTTTCTAGCTGCCTTTGCTAACAGAGGTTTTCCAGTGTACAAACCCAGCCATGAGATTAGGGCCTCCATCTCATTTGTCAATCACCTGCCTTAGCTCATAACACTGAAGTCTTGATTTGAACATCATGGAAAAGACAAAAGCACTAGGTGAAAAGTGTCACCTTGTTCAAAATCTACATGCTTTTTGAACGAAAAATCATCACAATTGTTGTTGAAACTCTGAGTGTTGATAAAAAGGATGGCTTTTTCTGAGCAGAATGTCAAAAGTTTCAGTAACTTTAAAAGTGTTACAAAAGGATGGTTGGGGTGTTTTTAGAAAGTCATTCTGAGATTAAAGAGTAACAATTGTTTCATGCTTCACTGCAACTCCTATGTAAGTTTTTTTCTGCTTAGGAAGAAATGTCCACCTCAGCTCACAAGGGACAGCTCATGTAAAGCCCAAACGTGTAGTGCAGCAAGAATCTAGGCTGGAAAACCTGTTCACCAGCAGGCTTAGTACCTTGGGATTTACAAGCTCCTCTGGAAGCTTCCCTCATGAGATCCCTGCTGTCTCACAGCCGTCCTCTTGACTCTTTCCTTGAGATCAGCAGAAACTTAGATATCTTTGAAACCCCTTGCTTTCTGGTTGAAATTAGGCAACAGTCCAGAAGCTGATGGAAGATGAGAGAGAGACAATTCTCATGGAGTTTGCATGTCCTTAGGGAAAAGGGACTAAAAGCATATACCAGAAGCAGGTTTTCAAAAGACAGGCTCAGCTACTGGTTATTGAAAAGAGTGAGAGTGAGGGAGTTTTGCTTTCTATTCCTGTGACCTGAGTAATCCCTCTCACTTTACAATACTTGATTCCTACACAAGAAAAATAATCCCTAAAAATAGAAAGGCACTAGTCAGGAAGGATCAGAATCACTTTTATCACTTTATGTGCTTCATGATGAATCTGTCTTTCCCAATGCCTGTGCTGGGAAAACTAAAGCAGGGACTTGAATGGAGTACTGAACACATAATTGAAGGAAGGAGCTGCTTTCCTTCTATATTGTAGGATGGGGATGTGCCCAGAGAGGCCAGGCACTGTGCTGCCAGGGATCCTGTGCTAAATCCTGCAGCAGCTGCCTCTGCTCAGGAAGCCAGCTTGCTCTAAGAACTACTTTACCTGCATTAATGAGTGGTATCTCACCATTAATGGTTACACTATTGCTAATTACAGCTTTCCATGGCTGTGTTATACATATCTATATATTGCTTCAGCAGCCAGCAGAAAAGGGCTCCTCCTGTCCCATTCCAGCACTGCTTTTGTCAGGGAAGGAGAGAAGGTGCCTCCATGCATGGGTGTGCAGCTCTGCCTGCCCACACACCAGCATCTTCTCACCTTTTACCTTTACGCATTCCCATCACACTCTGCTCTGAGCGCTCCCAGCTGGGAAAGCTGCTCTACTTTGCTTCTCATGGAATGTATTCACAGATCATCACTGTCTGTATCTCAGAGGTGGCCAGGATGCTCTTTGCGGTTCCAGGGGCTGCAGGCCCTGCTCGCTGACAGCCCATTCCTCCCCACCGAGGATGCCCCTCAGGAGGCAGCTGAGATGCTGGAACAGGCAGGTTTTCCAGGCTTTAGTGCCTGCTGTGCCACCTGATCCGGCTTTCTCTTAGCTGCTCCTTGCAAGCTGAGGTGGACGTTTCCTTCTACACAGAAAAATCTTAGGTAGGGATCATAATGAAGCACGTAGCAATTTAGTGATACTCTTTTGTATCAAAATGGCATTCTTCTAAAAGAGAGCCAACCAGCCTTCCATAACACTTTATAAATTATTGGAACCTTCGATATTCTACACAAAAAAAAACCCAAACGAAAACAAAAGAAAAAAAATCAAACAACGCCCCCCCCCCCCCCCCCCAAAAAAAAAAAAAAAAAGGAAAAAGGAAAAAAAAAAAAAAAGGTGAAAGATTTCTCTAAAACGCGGGTTCTTTTCCCTGCTGTTCAAACCGAGACTTCAGTGTTACGAGCTAAGCCAGACGAACGAGGAGACTGAACCGCCGAGCTCACGGCTTGTGCCCCTCAGCCCGGCAGCCCTGAGAGCCGCGGGAGCTCCGGCCCAGCGCCGCTCCCGGCTCCCAGCTGAATGGATGGATGGATGGCTGGACGGACGGACGGACGGATGGAGGGGCGGAGCGCTGCTGCCCGCGTCACGGCCCCGCCGGCAGCCCGCCTGCGGCCTTGCCCGGGCTCTGCTGCCGCCGCTCTGCGTCACGGCCCCGCTCCGCGCCGGCTCCCGGGCGGCGGCGGAAGCAGCGGGGAAGGCGAGGCGGGAGGGCGGCGGCGGAAGCGGCGGCGGGGCCGGGCCGGGCCGTGCCGTACCGGGCCGGGCTGATGGAGCCGGGCGGCGAGAGCGGCTGCTGGTTCCTGTACTACGCGTACGGCAGCAACCTGCTGCGGGAGCGGCTGCTGCTGCGCAACCCCTCGGCCGCGCTCTGCGCCCTGGCGCGCCTGCAGGTGCGTGAGGGAGCGGCTGGCGGGGCCGCGGGGGGGCTGAGGGAGCCCGGCATTCCTGCAGGGAGCCCGAGTGTCGCCGCGGCTGCCTGCGGTGCGGTGCTGCAGCCCGTCCGTCCCTCCCACGGGGGCGGCCCCAGCCCGGATCAGGCGGGGGGTCCTCGTCGAGGTGATGGTGCCAGGTTCTGTACCGTGGTGCCCAGTGACAGGATAAGGAGCGATGGACGTAAACTAAAACGGAAGTTTCACCTCTGCATGAGGAGTAACTTCTTTGCGTCGAGGGAGGCAGAGCAGTGAACAGGCTGCCCAGGGAGCTTGTGGAATCTCCCTCTCTGGGGACATTCCATACCCTCCTGGGCGCGTTCCTGTGTCACCTGCTCGAGGTGACCCTGTCTTGGCAGGAGGGGTTGGACAGATGATCTTGGGAGGGAGGTCCCTTCCAACCCTGGCTATCCTGTACTTCTTGATCCAGGGCCTGCTGCCGGGGCTGCCCACAGCAGAAGGAATGTTTGTGGTAGTCCCACTGCTGCGGAGTCATCTGACAGGACTTAACCTTCCAGGCTGCCAGCCATGACCCATGGCCCGTGTGTAAAGCACTACGGACTTTGAAATATAAAGTAGCAGGAAGTATTCTTTACTGTGAGGGTGGTGAGGCATTGGAACAGGTTGCCCAGAGAAGTTGTGGAAGCCCCATCCCAGGTAATGTTCAAGACCAGGCTGGATGGGGCTTTGAGCAAACCAGTCTAGTGGGAGGCATCCCTGGTACAGGCGAGGAGCTCTGCCTGTGCTGTGTGACGGGCAGATGGGAGCTTTCACCCAGCTCTGCACACCTGCAGCTGACACCTTCATACGCCCTACAGGGCAGTTCTCTCCCTGCCGGGGTTATTAAATGCCATTGTATCACCTTGGCTTTAGTGTAGGCTTGGAAACACATGCCTGTGGTCATTAAAGCTGTTGATGTACAGATCTGTGCAACTGGAAGCATGCTTGGAGGAGCAGAGCATCAATTGACACCACTTAAAGATGACTTGAAGGTTCTCGTGGGGTAACTGGCAGGAAATTATCTATGTTAGAGTGTGTGAAGAAGTTCCAAAAACTTGTCATTAATAAACTCCCCATAATCAGATACTTGGTGTCTCTTGGGACTATCAACCTGGCAGCTGAGGCCTGCTGCTGTAAAGCGTGAGGAACTTACAGCTACCCCTCCACTGAACGTGCTGAGAGCCCAGTGCCTTGCAGGATCAGATGTGGAAGGCAGGGAGAAAGGCACTAGTAGTGTGTGCTTATCTTTGAATAAAAGCAAGCTTCTTGAGATCGATTTCCAGGTTAGCCAGTAAGCTTGCCCCACTGCAGGCTGGCTGCCTTCTCTAGCTGGCCTTTGACCGATTGCTATGTTCCCTGCCGACACCGGGTGGCTTCACTCCCTTGCTTCCAGCTGGAAAATCACTGATGCTGGGAAGTGAGGGACTTCAGGAAGGTTGGAGCTGATTCCTGTTAATTGCTCTATGTTAGTTCCACTTGGGCTTAAAAAAAAAGAGAAACAGTGTAAACAGAGTGCTTGGGATCCTAAACAAAAGTAAAAACTTCAGTTTAACTTTAGCTAAACTTCCCTCTAATTTTAATTTTTAAAGCTTTGTTAATCTTCAGCCAAAAGCTATTAAGAAATGGGATGTGTAACAGAAAGGGTATTACACTGGTACTTAGAAGGACCAAAGACCAATTTCTTGACCCAAAAAAGTATCTACTGTGTTTTTTCCCATCTTCCCAGCAGTGCCTGATGCAGCTGGGCATAACTTAGATGTGACTTAACATGATGCACATGGTGTAACTTAGAGTTTCCTGCTCCCAGAACCAGAGTGAGCTGTGCTGTTTCTGTGTGATCTCTGTTGCTGTTTTGGGGTGATGCCTGATGATTTTTTACAGCTCCTTGCAGCTATCCAGTGCAGGTCAGGTCCAAGAAAATATAACTGGAGGAATAAAGTAAAAATTGGTGGGGTTTTTTTTTCCTCTTCTCCTTTTTTATTTTTCTATCCAGGTATTTCCTTGGGGCTGCCCTGCAATTACTTGTCCTCATCTGTAATTTCAGTCTGTGACTTGACTGGACTTTTGTGCAAATAACTTGGTTCATCTATTTAACCAATTTCTAGTGAAATTGGTTAAATAGGGGACGTTTTATGGGGCAGGAAGATGACTTTTGCTAGAGTAAACAGCGTGGCTTTGCCAGACTTCTCTCATTTATGCACACACACAAAAATTGATAGGTGTTCTCTGTGTATGCCTCCAACTGCTTTATTTTTTTTCAACCTTTTTCCTGTATCTATTAGGATAAGAGAGTGATGTGTCTCAGAGGGGATATTAATGTGTACATGTGTATGTTTCAAACCAAAATCATAGGTTCAAGAGGGTGGTTGTAAGAAATATACAAAGCTGTGGGGCTGCATAGGTTGGAGTTCTGTTTTTGTTGTTGTTAAGCAGGTAGTCTTCCTTAAAGCTTGGTTTGGACTGGGGGGATGGTTCTCTTCTGTACTGCTAGGGAAGGATCCACAAATTGGTTAATAAGTAGGAGAGGATACTGAGTGTATTGAGTCATGTGAGAAATTGCATTGATACCATTCAATAACCCATTGTTCTCTTTTCCATATACTGATAATTGCTTGTAAGAAAAAGTGATACTTGTTTTCTAAAAGAATGATTCTACTTGCAAAAACCTGAATAAGCTCACTGAAGGAGACATATGCCTTGACTTAAAAATACCCAAGAATGTTCCAGATGAGTGATGAGATGGCACAAAACATTGTAAAATACAAGGGATGGTATTTTATAATTGGGTATTCTTATTAGTGCATGAGGACAGGACCCAAAGCTCACCATCTTGCAGACTTCTTACTTAAATACCTTTACTATTTTCCTGGATCCTGCCCTAGTAGCATTTAAGTCTTATCACAAAAACCTGCAAAGGGTTTGGCACCAGGTAGGTGGCACCAGGTGGCACCTGTCTGTTCTTCCTTCTGTGTCTCCAACTGGCTACTTGTACTACTATCCTTTGGCTGCTCCTTTCATGTCAAGAATAGCCAATGGCCCTTATTTCAAGTGGAAATTGATTCTCTGCATTGCTTTCATTTGCAGGATTTTAAGCTCGAGTTTGGCCATCATCAAGGCAGGACAAGTTCTGTCTGGCATGGAGGTACAGCTACCATTGCTCAGAGCCCTGGAGACGAAGTTTGGGGAATAGTGTGGAAAATGAACACTTGCAATCTAAGTTCGCTGGATAAGTAGGTGGCTTAACTTCTGCTGTCTTCTGCTACTTTAGAGAGCTACTGAAAATTAGCTAATTTTTGGTGAAGAGCTGTGTGGAAGCTATGGTGTTGGAATCAAGAAGATGCTTTTGATTTTAATGTGGGAATTCTATTTCACAGTATGTGTATTGACTTCTGACACTTCTGTGATTAAAACAGCTTTGTTTTCAAGCTAAAGCTACTTTTTTGGGGTATTTTAACAATCTGTGGACCTTGATTTGAAGTCAATAGGTCATGCTTCTTTTATTTTTTTATAACCTGTCTTCCTAATTTTCTGTCTCTCTTAAGATTCTAAAATCTGTATTTGTCCTGTAGTATTTTTCCCATTACCTTAGGGATAATTTCCTTTGAGACTGACATCAATGTCTGTATACATCTGTAGACTCCAGTTGTAGCAGAAAAGGAAGCGATACGGACAGGACAGCAGAAGAGAGATCTTTAATACAGGCAAAGGGACCTTTTGAGGAAGTTATTTGACACGTCTTCTCTTCTAAGGATGTACGCTTCTGTGAGCTTGGGGAACACCCAAGCAGGGAGCTGGGGTTATGGTTTCCCCCTTTGAATGGGAGAGCCTGCCTGCACCTTTACAATGCACGGTGTAGAATGTTCTACCTGTGCCTGGTAATTAAGAGCCGTTCAAGGAACCCTGAGCAAGTTGCTCCCAGGCTGAAGTCTAAAAGACCACCTGGTTAAACAAAGCAAGGAATAGCATGACTTCTTGCAGGGTCTAAGACAGAGCTTAGAATGGAATCTCCACAACTTTGCCTGCTGCCATGTGCTTGTTGCAGCTTTTGAGATGTGCCTGCACAGCATGGTGCTTCTGGTGCACAAGGATTGTTTGTTCAGAGCAGTTCATCACTGACAATTTCAGTAGAAATCTGGGCTAGTGAAAACAAGGGAGCAGGGCATAATAAGCTCAGTGAAAGCACTACTTCAGTACTGTTCTTTTGCCTGTGATACTGCTGCAATTCCAGTGTACAAACATAGCCTTAAAATCCTGGCAGTGAAACTTGGTTCCAATGTGCTTTTTGCTGCCTATGGTGAAGATGAAATACAACAAAGTGTTGCCCAAGTTCTGTTAGCACCTTATGGTAATGGCACTCTTTAGCACTCTTGTCCTGGCTGGGTGTGAGGAGCAAGAGGGCATGGGCATCTACTTGGCATACTTGTGCTTGGGGGCTGCTTTACATGTCCATGCTTTATTATCTCCTGAGTTCCTCTGCTCTTGCTTACAGTAGCACTTAAACATCCTGTCCCCCTTCTGCTGACCTTTACCTTTACTTAAAACTCCTGATTGACCATGCTTTCCTGAAGCATAAACTTCCCAAGTATGATGATCCTGTCTGACAGCATCTGCTTTTATGATTCCCCTCCATGGGGACAGTATTTTGTACTTTGACTTCCATAAGTGTTTACACACTGTTTACAGTTGACATACTGTAGGATTCCACATCCCTGGTATTTGTGTGGCAGGGGATAAATTTCAATGCTTGATAAGGTACTAGAGACTCAAGTGCTGTAACACCACCAAAATCTGCAGCATGGACACCAAATTACTTTTTCCCAGTTGCCTCATTGATGCCAGGGAGGCAAACTGCAAATGGGATGTGTTCTTGGTTTTAATAGTCATAGTCAACAGCACTCTTCTAAGAATCATTCCTAACCCACTCAGATGAGCTTGCAGGTGCTCCTACTGAAGGTCTTGGGATCCTTTGGCTGTGTGCAAGCTGATATATTTGTAGGTTCTCCACCAAGTTATTTCCTGAAATTACCATCTATCCAAAAATAAAATGCCCACCTTTTTTTTTTACCCCTCCTAATCTGGGTAGTCTCTGCTTTGTTATCCAGAAGCAGAGGAGGAATGTGTAATGGAGGCTGCATGTAATTAGTTGAAATACTAACAAAACAATGTAATATATAGGAAACAAATATAGGAGGGGAACCTTTTACTTAGATGGCAGAACTCTTTGGCTTCAAATTCATGGGTTTTGCTATCTCAGTCACTTCTATGGAGGCTTTTGTCCTCTGTACTTTACAAATCTGTAAGTTACAGATTAAATCATGACTTTGCCTCATAGAGTCTAGCGATCTAGGATGTTACTAAACAGTTTTCTTGCTCTCACACAACCATGTGACTTATTTTGTAGTCTGCTGGCCTTGAATCTGCAGTTAGCTTCCAGTCTGTACTTGCACTTAACCTAGTTACTTGCCTAGCATGGCCCACATCCTGTACATTAAATAACTTGAAATGGTAGCAAGTCTTTGAGAAAAAGGTGAGTTGTCAAATTTATATTGGACAAGCAGTGTTAAAACCATGTTATGACTTGTAGCTAAAGTACATCTAAAGTTAATTGTGCTATACAGTCTCTTGTATTGCTCAAGCTTCTGGTTTACTTCTTACTGTTTCCTCAGATTTTTATTGGTGGCTAAATGCCAGTGGTTGAGGACAATAAGTAGCTTGGTTTTGAGTCTTTGTTTTTTGAAGCATAATTTTGCTAATACAAAAAAAAAAAAAAAAGAAAAAAACAAACAAATATTTATTTTCGCCAACCTAGCTCATTACTGCTCTGTATGTCTTGTGCAAGTTAAAAGGTGTCTTGGATTATTCATTGGAAAGTATTTTGCACAAGTTGTGCAAGTTTCCCCTTATCAAAATGTGACACAATGGACAAGATAAAACTTTGCAATTGCTTCTTTATCTGAGTGGCAGCTAAGGAACATGTGTCTGGCTCATTAATTCTGATAATCTTGCTTGTGTTTCTCTTTCAGACTACCTGTCTTCCACAATAATTAGTTTAGGATTATTCTCTTTCTGACTTTGCAGGTTAATCACAAGTCATCATTTCTTACAGAGCTGAAATGAGCTGAAATGATAAAAGTGGATGCTGCCTCTTCTCTAAAAACCTATTTTCTTATATGAAACAAGTTGGCACAAAAAGCACTGAAACATGTTTTGCCTCATTTGTTTTTCTTTTGAGTACATTAAAGCATAGACCAGTGGCCTGCCTTGAATTCTATTATAATAAACCCATATTTTTAATTGCATGGTTGGTTTGAAAGATGGATTGGTTAATTGACATGAAAGGAATATATGTCTTTTACAGGCAAGAGGGAGTTGAGGATGGCATTTATGTCCCAATAGAAGTTAATGTCCACACACAAGCAGGAAAGGTACTGACCTGTCGAAGCTACCAGATGAAGGACTATGTCTCTGGTCCCCCTTCTCCACAGTATAAAAAGGTAGGTGTTGCAGCACTTTAATTTTGGAAGTGTGTACAGAAGTTTATAATGCAGTACTTCTGTGCTATTTAATAAGTACTTTAATTACAGTGGATGGAAGGCATGACTACTGTAAAGGTATAACAGTCCTTGTGCAATGTACTGTGCTGTAATGATGATCACAGGAGATTGCTAGCTCTTACAGGCCTATTAAATCAGCTTGGGGTTTTTGGTGTAGTTATACCTTACAGGAAGCCCCTATTTAACTTGGGAATTAGCTGTGATTGGCACAAGGATTTCTGAAGGATGCTGTTCACATATATGTGGCAATTCTCTGTTTGAAAAATTAATGTACTCCACTGAAAGGACAGAGGGAAGCTTCTGTGGGGAAAATACAGCACCTGGTTTGTAGTTTCCAGGATGTGGATTATCCTTACTCTCTTGGGAAGTACTTGCTATCAGGACAGGATGCAGCTGTCGCCTTTTACCAGACACATCACCGGTGCACCACAGGGCTGCAGCAGCATTGCAGAGCACTGCACGGTTCCCCCTTGATGGCTGGTGAGGCAGAAGTGTTTCAACACCCTTCTGCAACGCTGACTCTGCAGAGACACATGATCCAGTCACGCAGCAGGCCTGACCTGCTTAGCCTGTGAGATCTGGGGTGGTGTGGCTGTGTCTGAGTGCTGCAGCTTTAGTGCTGCTACACAGACATCACTGCAGCTGCCTTTTCCTACCTGGAGCGCAGAAACCAGAGTGAGCCTGTTAAATCCCAAGTGTGCCACCTTCTCCAAACTGAGGAACTCACTCCTATGAGTTGACTTCCAGGAGCACAGCTAAGGTCAACTCCTGTGGGACTGCTGAAGAGAGAGGCCTTGCTTAGAAAGGCTCTGCTTTTCCACAGACCTCTTCCCTGCCAACCCAGCTCGTGGCAAGGCAGATCTTCAGGGGTTTTCAGGGAATTAATACACAGTCTGCTGCTGTGTGTCAGCTCTCATTGGTATGCTGAAAGTGCAGACCTCCACTGTTGGCAACTTTATCATTCCTTCCTGGTCCTGTCAGGAGCAGTTGTTAGTTCTGTTCTTCTCCTGTGCCCCCAGGGGTTTTTTGGGTGTTTTTTTTTGGTTTTTTGTTTTGTTTTGTTTTAAGTTAACCAGGCAGAAGAGCTAAAAACTTAAAAGACATTATCACATAGTGATTGAACTACATCCATCTACTGTGATGTACTTTTTGTGGCAAAATTCATTCTCTCTACACACCTCATCCTTGAAATGCATGCTGTTAAATGCATGGAAGCATATTTAGAATATTCATTTCTATATGCAGCCTTGCTGGTGTCTCCTTCAAGCTGCGTTACTACAACTTCCTCTTCTCCTCTTACTCACATCTCACATCTTCTGCACCAATACTTCAGTTTATTTTATGTATGGAAGGAAAGCTGCAGTAACAAACTAAGGAATCTGTGCTTTTTCACTGAGTTGTCTGTTTCTGTTTTTCCTGTACCCTGTCTAGGTGCTCGTTGTTGTCCTTTGGACAGCTTAGTTTTAAAAATAACTACTTTTTTAATTTTCAGCCAATTTTAGTGTCACACCTGAGTGAGAAGAAATTATCATCTTGTTTGGAAGAAAGAATGGAATAACTGAATAACAGCTTAATTAGAGAGTCTTGTGTACTTCAGCACCACATCAGAATCTCAGGGGTAGTTAAAAGCCTTTTCAGAGTCATTTTGTTCATGCTGTTCTGGTCTCCCAGAAGCCTTTGGCTAACCTTAGGTACAAATAGCACTATTTGAAATAAATTCTCTGGGTAACTTAAATGGTTCCTCCTACTCAAGTGATTGTTTGGAGGAGTCTGCCCTTTCTATTACTGAAGGCTTTTTTTTTTTCCGTTTTAATTATAGGTTATCTGCATGGGTGCAAAACAGAATGGCTTGCCAGCTGATTATCAGGAGAAATTAGAAGCTATTGAAACTAATAACTATGCAGGACCGGTGCCAATCATGGAAGAGATTGAAGCTGCTATTAAAGCAGAGAAAATAAATTCTGCATAGAATGCCTCTGCATTTGCTTGGCCATTCACCTTGATTTAGATACCTCTCCTCACTGTGCTGATCAGCAGTTGCTTTATTTATCAAGAAAAGATGAGTTTGCTGTGCATCTACAGTAAACCATTAGACATAACTTGCAGTCTGAAGACACATTGACATTGGTAACTTCTTTTTGTATGTATATCTTGACTACATGCTGAAGTACATGCTGTAAGTACATTGCAGATTTAGAAATTATCTTTCTGTAACTGTCATGCAGTGCTGCATGTAAATTTGTGCTTCATGTCCAGTTTACTGACCTTTTTAAAAGAAAAGGCCATCTTCATGAGTTTTGGCACTTGTTGCCTTCTGAGGAAAAAGGGCTGCAGGATAAAGTCATGTGTTTGTTAAAGTTTTATGTATACATAACTACATTTGTTAGATGCAAAGTAAACTCAAACCTCTAAGTCCAAACATTTTTCTCTGCTACTTCTCTTAATGGTTTAAAGCCCAACCTATCTGATGCTATGGAGTTCCTGTTCCTGTTTTATAGTTAATAAAAAAGTAGCATTTTTTAAACTCCTTCCATGTTTTAAAGCTAAGTCCAAAAGGCAGCCTGAGCCTGAAGACAATATTCAGCAAAGCATCTCATTCAAACTATCATAGCTTCCTTCCTTTCCATGTCTCATGAAAGTCATAGGTGAACTGGTTATCTATAACCAAGGCATTTTTAAAGAGTTCATTTTAGTTTGATAGTTAATTACCTTTTTGACTGGCTTGTTTGCCTATCTAGGCCTTGGTCCAATGAAATCAGAAAGTCTCCTTTAAGCCCTAGCACATTTATTCTGTGGGGGTTTTTTGTCTCTTAAACCCTAAATGAACAGACTTGGCCTCTTGGGGGTTGTTTGTTTGTTTGTTTGTTTTGTTTTTTTTCCTCCCCACAGTTTGACAGTCCAATGCAAAACTGGAAGCTTTTGTAACATATGGAGTATTTATTTTCATGGTACTTTGCAACCCCTGCAGTTTGTCGGTGGGGGATGAGAAAAAATTGACAACCTGGAAGATGTCAAATCACTGAGATTTGGCTTATCCTCTCTATAGTGTATTTTTTTCTCTTGATGTACAGAGAGGTGTAAGATATAACTGATGTCACTGTGTGACTGCTTAGATAAACAAATTATAAAATAACAGACTGACCATGTCTTCTCTGTATAAAATGTTTTCTATAAACTTCTGCCAGGTATGTGTAGCAGCTGTCCTGATGTAATATGCTTGTTTCCAGAGTTGGGCACGGTGACTGCTGTAAAACATGGTACTTTCCATATTAGCACTGCCTAGTTTGAGTAAATAAAATTGTGATTACCAAACCTCTGCCATGCCTGTTCAGTGTGCACCCCTCAAGAATATCACAGAACCACAGAACCTGTTAATGTTGGAAGGGACCTCTGGAGCTCATCCAGTCCAACACCCTGTCAAGGCAGGGTCACTTCAAACAGATGACACAAGAACATGTCCAGGTGGGTTTGGAATGTCTCTGGAGGGGAAAACTCCGCAACCTCCCTGTGCAGAATGCGTTGCTGATATAAATAAAAACTGGTGATGTGGGAATGCAGCTGAAGCCTCCATTGGCTGTTTGTGTTTTTTAATGGATGTAAAGTCAGTAGGGAGTACAAAACTATGCGTGAAGCACCCCTCTGCATCAGCACCACTTCTTTTGCCTTACCCTTAACTTGCACCTTGGGCTTTTCAACCTTTAAATGGTGAAGAAAACAGAAATAATACTCTGCAGTATCCTTGCGCGGGGGGAGCCTGACCGAGGGCAATGACCACTGCCGAGGGACACCCTGGCACCTCTCGGCGGAGGAGGGCCGGGTGCGCAGGGGAATGCGATGCTGGTGAAGGGGAAGCCTGGGGCCATTCCTGCGCGGGGAGGAGCCGCTTCCCGCTGAGGAGGAGAGTCCGTGTGTGGGGCGGGAGGGGGTGAGGGAAGCGCCCGTGGGCTCCTCCCCTGGCCTCCGTCCCTTCGCTGCCGCGGTGAGTGCCGGGGAAGGGCCGGGGGGCAGGCGGGCTGCCGGGGGGGAGGGCTGCCGGGTTCCAGTGTCTGCTTTCTGTAAAGCAAAGTTTCTGTGGTGCCGCCTCAAAAGCTTGCAAGGTGGGAGGGGACGGGATGCGCCGCTCCCGAGCTGGAAACTTCGGGGGTCCTTGGTGTTTCCTCAGCAGGGTCCCTCCCGCCCGGCGGCCGGCGCTGTCTGGCGGGGAGCGGGGAGCGGGGAGCGGGGACGGGCAGCAGCCCGCAGCTCCGCAGCGTGGGGACAGCGCCTTCGTGCGAAACACAGCAGCGCTGCCCGGCGTAAATGGTGCTCCGGATGCTGGCGAGGACGTGGTGTTCCTGAGGGCTGTTGGGGACGGGTGGCGAGGTCCCAGGGACGGAGGAGGTGGGAGGGATGCATCCCGCCCTGGCGGCCGCCTCGCTGCCCCGTGAGCGGCCGTGAGCCATTTGCTTCCCCGAAAGCCGCAGCGGAGATCCCAATCCCGGCGCGGAGTCGCGGGGCACTCGCTTAGGCCCCGGTGCTTTGCCCACCTAAGGCCAAAGAAGCTGGAAGGGAAGGAGGCGGGAGCGGTTCGCAGGGCAGGATGGTGCCCCGTGGCCTGGCCGTGATTCCATCAGTTCCGTGATTCCATCCGCTGCACTTTCCGTGTGGGATTCACCGCTGGTTCAATGTGAAAATAGTAAATGACAGTAGAAAAGCAGTTCCATGTTTATAGACGACAGTAAATTGCCCCCTCCTCCTCTGTCTCTTAAAAAAAAATCCCCAAGATTTCTCTGATTGGAGGAAGTTTCTTTGCTTTCTACTAGTGTCCCCTTATTATTTATTGATCTTTTCCCACCGGGAAGTGGTTACAAGGAAGCCACATAAAGTCTTCCTGACAGGGGCTTCTTAATGCATCCAAACACCAAAGTTATATTTCTATACAGAGAAATCTGTTGTGATATGTAGGAACAAAACCTGTGAGGGATGTGAATATTTCTGTCAAAGCCTCTGCCTTTTAAAGAAAAGCTTGTCATTTTACCAGATGGAGGCAGAAATAATTGCTTCTGTGTTCTTTTATATGTGTTGCTCTTCAAATAACTAGGGATGCTTACAAAAGCTTATGATACAGTCAGAAGAGAGGGAGACAGGGGAGGGAGAGAAAACCACTGAAAGATGCTGATCTCTGGGAGCCCAGGGGGATGCAAGAGCACGAGTTGTAATGGATTTACAGGAACGTGATGTTAACATATGGCTCCCTGGGCATTTATTGACATGTGTGGCATCACTAATGATAGTTAGACATTGTGAAGTGGGGCATGATGAGTATGCTTTAATTCACACAAACAGAATAATTTAAGATCTGCACAGTGACTCTGTACAATGCACCATTTTTGCTATAATAATAAAAGGCTATTTTTTAGTACCTTTGGGAATACATTGCATTGCTTCTCATCAAACATGCAGACTTTTTGTGTAGCACATGTGCCTGTTTGCCTGTGATCTCTGCATGTTTTTTACTGTTCTTGAACTAAGTAAAATAGCTGAAGTTCTTTTAAGTGTGAGAGCTGCTGTGTAGAAATAGGTGTTTTATTCACTTATTATAGTCAAAGACTACCGCAATACACCACGAAATGAACGACACTCACACGCTGAGATATCCAAGGCAAAAAAGGCTCATTTATTTCTGGACTTCAATATTTATAGAGTTATAAAAGTGACCATGGATTGGAGGATAAAATTGCCACTTCTCCAACCACACTGGTCAAACCAACAGTCCATCAATTCTCTCCTCCTCCAGAAAGGAATGCAAAACAGTCATTATTTACAGGAAAAGCATGTGAGAAACTCCATTGCAAAAATGTAACCATTAGAAGGCTTAGAAGAACAGGGTGACAAAAGACTGACTGCTGTTGCATGCATCACATAAGCTGTGGAAAATCAATCCCTTTTCTGTCTCTCCCAATGATAGCAAAAAGTTGAATTTATGCTCTCTTGACAGGGTCCAGATTAACAAGTATACCAAAATTTGCAGTTCTCTTGCTGTTATGACTCTGTAGTGAGTAACTGGCACTGTAAAATAGCTTTTCTCAGGAAACAAATCTTTCATGTGAAGTGTTTTCATACAACCACCTCTGGAAGAGTGATCGTGTTTTGAATGCTACGGACAGAAGGCTGTGCTAATGGGGACTCCACTAGCCCTGGGCTGGCACTCAGGTTTGTGTGCTTCACTGTGGTCCTGCCACAACTGGCCACTAGGTCCTGTGTAAATCCTGAAGATAATCCAGCTGCTGGCTGCAGGTAACTAGGTAACAGCAGAGAACTTTATTTCACAGGCAATTTAGAGGAACAGTTCTTGTCAGGATAACAAGACTGCAGAAGAAGTAGTATTGACTGAGTTTTCAGCTCTTCAGAAATATTCTAGGTTGGTCTCTAATTAGTTGCTTTAAGGGACGGTTGTTAATTAATTTGCTCCTTGTATTGTCTTTACTGCATCATTCTACACAGTCTCCTTGGGAGCAGCCAGCTCAATAAGGACTCAATTCCCTAGCTGACCCAGAAGTTGAAATGTGTTTTAGCTGTTCTGTAAGATCCTTCAGCCACTTTATCTACAACATAAGACATTGTTGCAATAAACCAGCACATTCTTTGCTGTCAGGGGTCTTGCAGCACTGGAAGTGGAACAAGCATCACAGTTTTGTTAGAAGAAAGAGCTAGGGGATCTCATTAAAAAGAGGATGTGAGGAGGCCAGGGCCAGGGAAAGTAGAAATGACAATGCACAACGCTGAGAGTAGAGGGAGCTCAGAGGAAACATAGATAGAAGTGCCAGTGCCTTCGTGCAGAAGGCATCGGTGCCACTGCAGTTTATTGACATGGGTTGTACAAAACCTTGCTGGAAGTACGATGCTTTTACTGTACCTCTTACTATGACAAATTTCATTTCCCTGTTTCATTTCCCTCCTTATTCCTGGCCTGATCCCCATCTTGCTTCCTCTTTTTATTCTCAGTGGCACAGGTTTATGATTGCATTGATTGCCACACTTGCTGTTGCTTCTCATATCGCTTCAATCCCCATCAACATTTCATTTGGCCAAGACCCTGTCTTCCCTTTCTTCTTGGCTTTTACAGCTGATGGCTAGGTATTCTGGATTCTTTTTAATTCCTTCTAGTCTGTTTCCTGCCTTCTTCACCTGATGGACTTTGCTGTCCTCAAAATGGCTAACTACATTTCCTCTCCAACATCATTGGCAGCCTCTTCAGTAAGTAATTGGGTATTTTTAAATTTTTCCTCTTAGGAACAAGAAGTCCATTCTGTTCCCAGATAGGAATCTTTTCCCCATAAGTCTTTCTCCTGTTGTTTCCCCGTACCAGACTCCTGCTTCATTCAGGTATCATCTGTCTTGCCTGTCTCCATTCCTCCTCAGGTGTTCTGCTTCTGTCAAGCTTGCAAGTCTTTCCCTTTTTCTTGCTCATTTCTCCAAACAGATGTGTTCACAAGCTGTTGCTGTTAGAACAGGTGATCTGTTTTGACCGTAACTCGTAAGAGCCTTAAGGTATCTTTCATTTTAAAAATGATTTTATTCACTTTTTCCCTTTCAGAAGTGGAAGGCAGTACACTGAGGTGTCTCACATTAATGTGTGCCTCAGTCTTTTCTACCAGCATCCCCATGACTGATGCAACATCAGTCACACAAATTGCACTGGAATTGAATCCAGCATCTCGAGGGCCCAAGATAAGGCACAGAACACTGTATGCACTCTAGTAAGGAAGTGCTTTCAATGCCTGTTTATAAGCTGCATAAGCATTTACCTTTAAACATACCAGATGTGTAACCTAGCATTGTAAAACTGACAGATCCTTCCACAAGAGACTTTGCAACCTTGTGTTCCCTTCCTGAAATACTCATAATGAAGCACTATGGAAGCTGGGACTCTGCAGAAAGAGAGGTGATGGGCTTGCATATAAGCTGGAGACCTCATGTTTTCACATACTGGCCTCATGTTTTTAAAAACACCACCAAAATCACCCCAACTGCAAAAAAAAAAAACAAAAAACCCAACAACACAAAGAAAGCCCTAGTGAAACAGAATCATATATGTCAAGTTTCTTCATACAGCTGATACTCTTTGCTATGCATAGATGTAGCAGGAAGTCTTTCTGTTCCAGCACCATTTAAAGTGTTCAGCTCTTCATCTGGTATGGGTTTTCTTAGTCTGTGAATGGTGGAAATTTCCATTTTTTTTTTACTAAAAAGGACTGATGAAAAATACTAAGTACTCCAGTACTGGATGTTGTGGGGTTTTGCATTAAATTTAGTATTTTCATTGAAAATATCACTAAGTACATTATCATGCACAGATTTCATATTGCCAGTCCTGACTTTCCTGCTTGGCATTTTTGTTCTTTCTCCTTTCCTCCCTGATGTTTCACCTCTCTTTATATTCCTTTTTGCTTGGTTTCTTGTTTCTCTATTCTCCTGCAGATCACCCTGTGTGAAAAGGAACCTACTCTGTCCTGCAGCATTTGTATGCACACCCCTTCCAGGAGCAGCCATGGTTTGTACTGACTTGGAGGTGGTCAGGTGCAGGGCAGACATCTTTGAGACCTTCTGGTCATTCCATATCATGTTCTGTCCTGCTGCTGTATTTCTTCTTTCTTTTCTTATGCTCTTTGTAGATGGAAATGAAGTAGTAAAGAAAATACTTCTATTTGCTTTGTACACTTTACAGCATGTTGGTTTATTCTTATGGTTTTCTGAATATTTGTCTCAGTTCTTCTTACAAATTAGGAAGAAAGAAAATGCATTAGAATAATGTGGTCCTGGAATAACCAAAGCAAGCAAGGAATGTTGGGTGGATGCAGTATCTTGAAAGAATAGGTTTAATATTTTAATTGCATGTTTTAAGATGATGCTATCTCTTTAACTAAAGCCTACAGATACTTGAGGCTAAATTATGTTTTCAGCATGCTTGGTCTTCATTCACGGAATGAGCTTTCTTGAACAAAGAGATGTGCCACTGTGGCTTCTGGAAAGCTGAGTGACTCAGAAATCAGCCACTTCCTCGGGTGGGTCATCTGAATGGGGTAATGAAAGCTTGATTTGTCTTGGGTAGATGCAGCCACTTACTGGTGTGGTAAGAAATTCAGATCACTTGGTTACATTCCGTTTGTTGGAAACAGTTTTGCCGTTTTGGGAGTTGGCTGTGACCTGGAACAGTTGTGCTGGGGATTTATCAGGTTTCAGCCCTTGGAGAGCCCAGCTCTTAATGCAGTTATCTGCATCCATGCAGGTCAGCAACCGTAAATTGGGACCTACTGGGAAATCTGAGGGGCTAAGCCCTGCTGGTTTGAGTGTAGATAGTTAGTATCACTAAAATGCAGTACCATAAACTGTGTCCTTCTCCAGCATCAAGCAGGAGAAGCTTCTGATATAGAAAACCCACAGAAGTGAGATTGTTCCAGTAGCAGGTCACTTAGAATAATCTGTGAGCTGGCAGGGCTCAGTAATAGCTTGACAGGGGAGTGCTGGGGAGCATTTGAGAAAGTTTGCGGTCAATGTCTTGGGAAATTGTGAGAATTTTGTAGCAGCAGAGTTGGCACATCTACAGAATTTTTGAAGGATTTTGTCTTTTGGTTTTGTTAATAAGACTGTAATCAGAATCTAAGAACATTCTTCCAGATATCCCTTGACCTGCTGAAACAACAGTATGTTTTAGCTGTTACAGGGCGTTGTCAGTCATTTGTGTTGATCATGCAGATTCTCACTGTCTGTGTGGAGGTGATTCAGTTGTGATCTTGGCAAAACATTAGCTTCTTGCATGGGAAATCATATGTGCAAGTTTGTACCTAAATAGTACCTAAATGAACTTACTGTTGAATTGTAACTACAGTATAACTTCATGCCTACTGTATGGTGAGCAAATTAACTAAAATTACAAGAAGCCCTGCTTTAGTAATACAATGGGGAGCAGTCTGACCCTGATTCCTCTTGCTTTATGCCTTGTGGAGAAAAAGAGGAATAAATGAACATCTAAAAAGAGCTCCCAAGAGGTGGTTTGGAGAACAAGGGTATACACTGTGTATATATTTGCCAACAAGGAGAGAACATTTGTGCTAAAGAGCATGGTTTCAGAATAACCTCCCTCCTGATGTTCATGAACCTTGTATCCTTAGAAGCTAAACTCTTTTTCCTAGTTTAGCTAAAACTGCCTCAGAGTTCACAAGGCCTTGTTTTCAGGAACAGGTATTATATTTGCAGCACTTCTTACAGTCTCTTTTTGTAACAATGAAAAAGCAGAGTGAATTGCTACTGTAAATTAATTCCTCCTACAAAATTAATTGCTATGAAGTATAATTTTATTCTGTTTATTTCCTTGTCCACATTATGTTTGGACAGATGCCCTGCTTTGTCTACTGAAACATAAAAAACTAATAAAAAAAATTAAATTATGCATTAGGAACAGGCAGTTAATAAAGCAGATGCCAGTGCTGGTGTTTGAGGCAAGCTAGAGTAAAATACTGGTACAGGAGGGAGACTGCCTGTTGTAAATATTTTATTTTTCAAAACCTGAACAAATAAATGAAAGTACCTAAGGAAGAAACGTTATTAAGAAGTTGGCCATGGTACTTCACAGAGTTTGGGAGTATTCTGTGATGTCTAATTGAAGGGTGTATGTGCACAGAATAAGGTTTAAACTGAGGTTCTGTACAATTACTTTTTGCAGGCACGGTGATGTGAAGGACAGATTTCCCGTTTGCCTGAAGTTAAATCCGACCTGACCTGTCACTACAAATGGACAGTTTTTCAAAGATGAGGCTTGGTGGAGGAGCTTCTTGGTATCTCAACTATGGAAGGCCTACTTTGTGCTAATGTGGACGTTTCTGTGAGCAAACCTCCAGGAGCAAGCCCTCAGTCCTTCATTGCTTTGCTGAAGGTTCACCGAGAGCTTCTGGTCGGTAGGATCCGAAACACGCAGTGCTTGATTGATAACTTGATTAAGAACGACTACTTCTCCACTGAGGATGCAGAGATTGTTGTCCAGTTTCCTACTCAAGCAGATAAGGTATAATTGTTTTTTCTCTAGCCAGTGAAGCTTTTGGTTACTTTCAGTTTATCACCAGATTTTAAGGGTTCATCCGACAATTTTACATCCAGTGTGTTTTCTAATCTTTGTTGTTCTGGAGTTTTCCCACCCCGTTCTTCCTGCATGAGTGTCTCCAGCACATCCCTTTCCAGCTCAGCTGGCACTGCTGGTTATGCCCGTTGGCAGCTGTAAGAATTTAGCAGGGTGATAATTGCTGTTCTGTCCCTCCCAGCTGCGGCTTTGTCCTCTGATAAAGATGTGGCCACATAGTTGTTAGAGTATAGCAAGGAAAATCTGCTTAGGATGCTGTGGGATAGATCATCCTGCTTTAGGAGAGGCAGAAATGGATTGTTGTTTTAGAAGTCAGTGATTGTTTGTTGTCTGTATAAACACCTTCCTTTAAAGACCTATGTAGGTTGTAAATGTTTCTGTGGAAAATTGATGTATCCTGGCGTATTTGGGGTTTTAATTCATCTTTGGACATCAGTAGCAAGAATTATTTCCTTTCATTAGGAGAAAATTACAGTTTACACGGTCGGTCTTTGCATCGTAGCTTGAAACAGCTGAGGAGATTGTTTCCCAGACCAACCAATCAGGCAGCTTCAGAGCCCTGTCACAGTTAGGGGCAGGCAAACCATAAAAAATTCAAAGACCTTGGACTTCACCAACAGTACACATTTTCATAAAATAATCATTCTTGCTGGCATGTTGAAATGGTAACACAGTGCTCACGCTGTGTGTAGGGTCAAAGCTGAATAAATGCACACTGTATGATTATCTCAATTTCTTATTGTTCACCATAATATGCATGGTTGTTGTGCCAAAGCTGAGGGGGAGGCCATGCATCAGGAGTCTGTGCAGAGACAGAGAGCAGGCCACAGTAGTGTAAGTGAAGTAGACTCTGTGGGAGCTTCTCTGGAAGGCATAAAACTGCTTTTTAGAGCATACAAATTGTCAGAAAATGCTCCATGTTTGCTGTGTTGCCTGTACATCTCCCTGATTTAAGTTCACAAGAGACCACAGTCTCTGGAAACCCTTTGTCTGGTTTAGAACTGCATTCTTCATTCATTTCTAGCAAGGGGATCCTGACATTCAAAGTGTGCCTCCAGATGACTGCTCTGTCTTGCAGAGGGTTTTATACTAGCACTGCCTTGTACTGGTGCACAGAGATCACCCTCTGCCTTGCCTGTGGAGGTGACACTTTGTGCTGAACTGCTCCAGCCACTGCCTGGTAGCCATTGGTTTTGGTAATGACTGCAGGCAGAGGGGCCATTGTACAGAGAGAGCCTGGAGAATTGATTTGCTTTGTTGGAAGGAAAAGTTGTAGGGTTTTGGCTCAGCATCAAGATCCAGAGAGGGATTCAGCCTATCCTGATGTGAACATGATGGATCCTGAGGTAAATCCAAATGTGACTAGAATATTTACAAAACAGAGGGTGAATTTAGGGCACTGAGAAACCACCTCTATTTTCATTTTGAACAGCACAGGATTTAAAATACATTATGTAGCCAAGCTGAGGAAATCCTTTGGGTTCCCTGTTGAGGAGTGGTATTTATCCATTTTGTTTCTGGTTAGTGTGATTGAGCTACAAGTTCAGACCTTAACTTGCAGAACCAACTCTCTCACAGCATTCAAACACAAATGGCAGTTGGGTTTTGTGGTGGTTCCAATTCAGAGAGGGATTTTGATTTCACCCTTTTGAAGCACCAGTTTTGATTCTGGCCCCCTGCTCCACTCCAGAAAGAATCCTAAAGCAGTTGACAAGTATTACTGTGATAAAATGCTGTGTATCAATGATCTTTCCCGTGGTGTTTCTTCAGGTTCGCAAAATTCTAGACTTGGTTCAAAGCAAGGGAGAAGAAGTTTCGGAATATTTCGTCTATGTCCTGCAGAAAGTCACTGATGCTTACTATGAGCTTCAGCCTTGGCTGGATGAAATAGGTTACAAGCCTTCAGAGAATATTTGTAGTAAACCTGTGGTAAATACAGATCCAGGTAAGGTCATGCATCGCTATCCTTTCCCTGAACTGCTCTGCTATGTAGGAAGCTCCAACCAAGTGACAGGAGAGTAAGAGTTTAGGCAGGCACAGCCAGGGAAAATTAAAAGGCAAAATTAGTTAGCCATATTATAAGGCACACTGTATAACACAAGGGTGATGTTGATAAATGACATCCTGTTTTGTTAAACTCAGGCTCTTTCTGCATTTGTTTGTGGGTATGTAACACAAGGGCAGAACCACCTTGTGCCAGCTGTGGTATTTTCTAGGCCTCTACTACAATTTATTAGCGACACTGTGATGTTTTGGCCATGGACTAGCCAGTATTTCATGATGAGAACAGTCAAGAAATGAGGAAGGTTGCCCAGGGAGGCTGTGCAGTCTCCATGGGGGTTTTCAAAATCCAACTAGACAAAGCCCTGAGTAGCTCATCTGATGTCAGAAATGATCCCGTTCTCAGCAGGAGGTAGGACTAGACCTTCTGAAGTCCCTTCCAACCAGAATTATTGTCATCCTAAATGATGATTTTTAGCAACCATAAAAATCAGAATTTAAGTATTGCTGAAATTATTTCCTCTGGAGAGGTTTTTCCATACTACATAAATATGAGAATTACTTTGTCCCCATCTGAAGTAAAGTTGCTGTTGAAAACCACAGGCCAACGTTGTGCAATAACTGAGATTCTCTTGTGGTTTTTTTTGTCCTCTTAAAAAAATCTTTTGAGGTGCCTGGTACTAGGTTTCTAAAATGCATGGCTTCTGTATGCAGTAATATAAATGACTAAAGAAGTTAGGAAAGAATAACCACCTACCTGATAGAACTGCAGTTAGACTACAAGTACAGTGAAATCAGTGACCAACAAGCCTTGGCAGAGAGTTAAGCAGCCTTTGACAAAGGGTCAGGGGCTTGGCTTTGAGTCTCAGCTGGAGGATAGCAACCCCTTAAACCAATGCAGCATCAGTACTGGCTTTCAGAAAGTGGTGGCTCACATGTGACCTTTCTTTAGCACCTGAATTTCCCAAGGGGGTGATGATGGCAGCACAAATAGAATTAATCTGCCAAATAATCCTTTCCACATTAGAATTACTTTAGTTTATTACCCACTCTGAGTTCCCAAAGAAGTGGGTCATTGTATACATAGGTTTTTTAATAATAGTCTCTTTAATAGTAGTTCACTGTCTTTTTAGTTAGCAGGTATTGCCAGAAACTCAGACATGACCTGGGACGGGACTCCAAGTTTTTTATGTTGTACGCTCAGAAGGAGGAGGTGCTGCTCGAAGAAATCTACTCCAACAGTATTATGGAGCTGGTCAGTTTTACCAATGAGAGTCTTGGCCAGGTGGGTCAATTAGAAGCCCTTTTTGATGATGCAGTTGGGCTAATTAATGAAGATGGAGAGACTATTTATGTCTACGGGGATGCAGGAATTGGAAAATCCATCTTGCTGCAAAAGATACAAAGCCTTTGGGCCAGGAAGGAATTGGACATAGGGGCCAAGTTTTTCTTCCGTTTTCGGTGTAGGATGTTTAGCTGCTTCAAGGAAGATGAAGCCATATGTTTGAAAGACCTGCTCTTCAAATATAATTGCTACCCAGACCAGGACCCTGCAGAAGTGTTCCGTCACATCTTGCAGTTCCCTCATACAGTTCTTTTCACTTTTGATGGCTTTGATGAGATCTATTCCAACTTTGATCTCAGCAGCGTACCTGAGGTATGCTCACCCAATGAACCCATCCACCCCCTGGCACTGCTTGTAAGCCTTCTCAGAGGAAAGCTTCTTAAGGGATCCAAGAAAATTCTTACTGCCAGGACAGGAACTGAAATCCAAAAAAACATCATTAGGAAGAAAGTGTTGCTCCGCGGTTTCTCCAGGAATAACCTGAAGGAATACACAGCTATGTTTTTCAAAGATGAGCAGCAACGAGCACTGGTATCAAACCAGTTGGAAGCTAACCCAAATCTCTGCAGTTTGTGTTCAGTGCCTTTATTTTGCTGGATTATCTTCAAATGCTTTGAGCACTTCCACTCCATGTTTGACAGCCATGAGCTTCCAGACAGTTCTGTTACATTAACAGATGTATTTTTGCTCATGATTGAAGTCCACCTGAACCGATCTGTGAAAACAAGTTTGCTGAAGAGCAATATCAGGAGCCAAGCAGAGATGTTCAAATCAAGAAAGGAAAGTCTTCTAGCTTTGGGTAAAATGGCATACAAAGGGATGGAGAACTCTTCCTTTATCTTTGAGCAGGAGGAAGTCTCATCGGCAAACATCTCTGAAGAAGATTTGCAATTGGGCTTTCTCAGGACAGTTAAAGGTTACAGTGGCTGTGACAGTCAGGCCACTTATGAGTTCTTGCACTTAACCCTTCAGTCTTTTTTCACAGCTTTGTTTTTGGTTGTGGAGGAGAAGGTGGGTACCAAGGAGTTACTTGAGTTTTTCAATGAGTGTTCTTCCATGGAGACTGCTCAGACTACTTGCCTTCATATCCCCTGGTTGAAGAAACAGCTAGCAGGGGAGGATCCTTTCCAAAATAAAGAGCACTTTAATTTTACCAACATGTTTCTTTGTGGCCTGCTTTCTGGATCCAGGCAGAAGCTCTTCAGACATTTAGTTTCGCCTGCGGTCATTAAGAGGAAGAGAAAAACACTCATCACATACCTTGGGGAGAACATGAAATCCCGCCTGAAAGGCTACACTCGGTCCAGGCTTAAAAGCTACAATCAGGTGCAGGTGCAGCCCAACTTTGTGTGGATGCTGAGGTGCCTGTACGAGACGCAGAGTGAGAAGGTGGGGAGGATGGCAGCCCGCCGCATGCACGCCAACTACATCAAGCTGGCCTACTGCAACGCCTGCTCTGCCGACTGCAGCGCCATTTCCTTTGTTCTGCACCACTTCCAAAAGCAGCTGGCTCTGGATTTGGACAACAACAACATCAATGACTATGGAATAAAGCAGCTGCAGCCTTGTTTCAGCAAGCTGGCAGTGATCAGGTAGGGGTCTCTGTAAGCAGGTCCTTGCATATTCTTCGTTTATTCCAAAAACTGGTGGGCTGAAGGAATTGATCTCACAAGTGGAGAAAGGTGAGGATTAGTGCTGCTGGAAATTAATGTTTCAGATCTTCTGAAATCTTTGTTCACAGGAGCAGAGATAAGCTGTGAATTTGGAAACCAGAGTGGAAGGGGTGGAAAGTCATCCTTAGAAGGACAGACTGTTCAAACCTGTAGGTTTAGCTCCATCTCAAATTGTTTTGTCACAGAAGAGGATTTTTATGACAGAAGGTGCTTAAGGGAAAAAGGAGACATAAGGACATCCTCCATTATCTGAAGATTGCCTCAGGCCATCTCTGCCCTTGGTCATAGGGGGTAAGGGAGGTTCCCCAATTCACAGTAACCCTTGATCAGAAGCTCTGAATTTCTTGCTTTTGCATTCTGTCAAAATGTCTGGCTTTCATAGGACAAAAACTATCATGTACATCCATGAAAGAATGTAGTTGACGCCTTCAGATACGGTGTTTCCCCTGAGGTGCTGTGAAGGGAGGACATGGCTTTGTTGAACAGGGAGAACTGACTCTACCTCTGACATCACAGGCCAGATTGTTTCACCTCCAGCCCTTTGAGCTTGTACCATGTAGCTATATCTTACTTGCCCAAACATTTCGGTGCAGAAAATCAGGAACTTCATACATATATATTTTAAAACTCCTTCAGCCTCATGAGAATTTTTTTTTAGCAACTGGATTTATTCCTCCTGTTTGGCTGTGCCTTGCCTTGTTTTCCTCTAGGAATAAATCAAAGACAGTGACTTCGTTTATTTTTCCCAGTTATTTGCAAATTGACTGACCTCCCAGGAGAAAGCAATAAGGAAACTCCTGGGAAAAATGCATAAGTACGTAAGACAAAACAAAGAAGAAAAGGCCAGGCTTTCATTCTTCGTGCCTATCATGTGATCATGCCACACACAGTGTGATTAATTGATCCTAACATCATCCCCAGCACCAAAACAGTCTATTAGGTTGCCCTTTTAGGATCTCTTTATGGATCTTCAGATGTTGGAACTTTTATTTCTAATGAGCAATTTCTGCAGGTCAGGAAATGTTGTTTCCAATGACTTAACTATCCCTTTCAAAGAAGCAGGCTGTCCTGATGTGTAGAAATTGGCTGATCTCTCCTGTGTGCTGGTACATTCCAAAGGGACCACGTTGATAACTAGCAAAGGCTGGGGAGGCTGTTGGTGATAAGGGACTCTCAGCAGGAAATTTTCAGCTACTGAGTTTGTCTGCAAACTAAATGTGGTCAAAATGTTTTCATAGGGACAGCTTTACCCAGAAAATGTGATTCATGGCAATTGGAATGCTTCACTTGAACCTGTCCATGAGGTGAAAAAGCTTGAGAAGCTGCAAAAAAAAACCCCTAAAACAACACAACAACAAAAACCCCACCCCAAACAACTGTGAGAAGAAGCATTTTTATTCTGTGAATGACTGACAAATCAATATTTGTTTTGTGTCTGGCTGGGACAATAAAATTAGAAACATCTAGCAGATCCATGGGAGTGCAGTTCTGTTTTCTGGCCAGGGCTTTTCACAACCTTTATTTGGTGAAGCCTGAATGTGTTGTGACTTTCAAGATGCCTGGCTTTCACTATGTACTTGCAGAGAAGATTGCAAGACTAGTAGTTTGGACAGCTTGCTTTTGCTAGGGTGTTAAGCAGACTTTCTTCCTGGAATCACAGTAAGCACAGGAGGAGGGTGAGATGTGTATCTGGAGTCTGACTTCCTACATTTTATTGTTCTCAGTTCTATGGACAGCTGCCAGAGCATTACCTAGGAGATCTGGGGCTTTCTGATTTTTATCAGTTTTGGAATGAGCCACATGAACGTGAGCTCACATTTCCTTTAACAGCTTTTAATATGTGGCATAAGGACCTGTTGAAACACCAGAGGAAAATGCATAGGCCTCCAGTCATTTGTTAACTTACAGGTTATGAACATTTCTAGTATGTATTGATTCAGACTTTTCATTCCCTGCTTTCCAGGCTCAGTGTAAATCAGGTCACAGATCATGGCGTGAGGATCTTGTATGAAGAACTCTCCAAGTACCAAATTGTGTCTTTTTTGGGGTATGTACCCAGCTGGGAGCAAAACATAGCAGTGATACTAGAAAATAAAACTCTAATGCTGTCAGTACTGACACAGCAGAGGTGGAGTGGGAACTACAGTTTAAGCAAAGCAGCTTTTTGTGTCAGAAATCATTCTGTGACAGTTCACTGGGACAAGGACCACAGTTTCCCATCACACTCCCTCACAGCCTCCTGCTGGCATCAAACCCTTCTGTGGCACAGTGTGGACCACTGTCAGGTTACTGAGCTGTGTGAGCATGCTAATTTTTATACTGAAACCCTTCTGCTGTGGAAGGGATAGACTGCAAGCAAGAGAGCGTGTATAGTTATAGCCTGCTGTTTTCTCCACTGTAAACTGATTTATTTCAACTATGCAAAGCAGATGCAGCTTGGTAGAGACTGCTGTCAGGAACATGCAGTTTCAAGTGTCATGTTCGTGATACTAATTTCTTTCAAGAGCTTAATTAGTTGTTAATGAAGTTGAAGCTGGAAGGCACGTTAGCTCTGACTTTCTGCTCTTGGTTAAGTAGCTACATAAAAATGACTTTTTGAAAGGTGAACCTGAATACCAAGAATAGCTTTTTTCCTCCAGTGCCCTAATGTAAGTACAACTGCTCAGGTATCTGCTCTTCAGTAATATTTGCAAGGGGATTTTATGACTTTTAAAAGACCAAAAGTACATTATGGTGTTTTGTCTTGTGCCTTATCTTCTGGCAATATTATTTCTGTACTAGCACAGGAATAAAGGGAAGCTTTGTTTGCTTGTGGAGACCATTTATTTTAAAAATTATATAAATATTCATGATTTGCAGTCTGGTCTCCTTATATTTTATATCTAGCCCATCACAATATGAATTATATATCAAAATAAAAATACAAGCAACTGTGAATATGTACAAAGTCGCGCAAAAAAGATAGATTCTATGTGTGCATCATAAAACATTCAGGTTGTAAATATTTAACAGCAGTAATAACCTATTTTTACCAGTGTGATTTTTCTTTAAGCTTATACAGCAACCAAATCACTGATGTTGGAGCCAAATATGTTGCAAAATTAATTGAAGAGTGTTCAAGCCTGGAATATGTTAAGTATGTTGGATTGTTTTTCCTTTCTACACTATCCTAATTAAGGTTAAGCGACTTGAAAGGGGAGAAAGAGTAGAAAAAAAAAAACCAAAAATTGTATTTGAAATAAAATATAATTTAGGTTGCAGTTGTATATTTGTTTTGCAGTTGTCTAGCAAGGGATGGCAGCAGGTGAAGCTCTTGAATCTATGTCTTTTCTGGAATACAGTAGTGAGTTAAAGGAGTGCATGAGATCTGTTCTTTATCTAAATCCAGTCTGAGCACCTGAGCGAGGCTTAAGCTGTGCATGGACCTTGCTGCTGCTTCCAGCAGGCAAATTCCCTTGGATTTAGTACTGAGCTTTTTAGTGTCTGATCTTTTATGGGCCACTGGGGTCAGGCTGTGCTGGTGTCCTACCTCAACTCTGGAATTCCCCAAATTCACTTGGTGAGTTGTTCCCTTTAATTCCTGGAACTTCCCCAGATAAGAGTGTGTGGCCATGCACATTGGTTGGACATAAAGGTAGATCATTAACCAATGGTTTAATTGTGACCATAGCAGAAACCAGAGGTAACTGCAGCAATGTCAGCCTTTGGAGGGAATGTAGGAACAGGCAGCCAGGGACTCTTGGGTTCTAGTCCTTGTTCTACCACTGACTTGGTCTAAAACCCCACTCTGGCCATATCCTTCCTGCTTGAAGTTTTTGCAGAATTTTGAAACCCAGGAGCACTTAATTCTTTCAGTGCTTTAACAGTGCTTTGCTTATTCAATGTAGCTTTCACAGAAAAAGCCTGTTGAAAGATGGTTGCTTTCAGGCTACATAGTAACCCCAGAGACTATTTTGAGATAGAGTGCACATTCATGTGTCCAAAGTCAGCCAAACAAGACAGTTTTATGTAAATGCAGTGGCTTGGGGGTTGCGGGGTAGGGTTGGGGGTTTGGTCTGTTCTTTAAATCAATCTATATGCAATTATCTCTCCCTTGAACTCCAGCCGTTTGATATCCATGTAGGCCAAAAATAGAAGAGACCTTGTGTAAAATTCCAGCCAGAGACTGACTGCTGCACTGACCTATGCCACTGCCTAGAGCCTGTGCTTACGACAGAAAGACTTGAAATTATGGCAGTCTGTGTCTGTCAGCTGCAGTCTCCCCTGGAAACACACAGTCAAGAAATACTCTGTTCCCTGTGGCATCATGAAACATGCTGCGTGTAATTCATGAGCTCTGTAGCAATTGCTGAGAGCATGAATTATATTAAAAACAAGGCTGGGGTCCTTGCCCTGAAGATCAGTTCCTAAAGCTCATTTCTAACATACTGAGCACCAAACCCAGGACTCTACTGCAATACTTCTGATTTGGAGGGCTGACATGCAAAATATGCAAAAGACAACATAAAATTATGTCTTTTAGCCAAAGGTCAAGTGCCTGCAGTATTTTTCACTCTGGGTTAATCTTTGATAACTGCAGGTAACCTGCAGAGTTAATTAGCCTTAAATACTTGTGTGGCTTTCTGAACTGGTGTTCTGATAGCTGCACAGTTGTAAGTGATGCACCTCATCAATTTCTGTACTTTGTGCAGAATAGGAGCAAACAAAATAACGAGCGAAGGAGGGAAGTGCCTTGCCCAGGCCATCCAGAAGAGCCAGACAATGTTTGAAATTGGGTAAGTTCAGTGCTAAAGAGCAGAAGTTAGAGCTTGATCTTGGCCAGGCACCTGTAAATCCCCTAGGATTCCTTTTTTTCATGCTTACCTTCTCTCCTCCTTCTATTCCTTCCTTCCTCAACAACAGCATTAGAGCAAACGAGTGTAGAAGCATAGGCACATTTTCCATGGAAAAGGAGGGCTGCTTTGTTGTTCTTCAGTTCACACAATGTTTGGTTTGGGTTTTGGCATCTGTTTTTTTCTTTTTCACTGTTCTGACAGAACCTTAAAGGAGAAACAAACAAACAAGAGGACTGTATATACAGCTAGCACTTTCTTTATGGCAGCACAACTCCTCTAGAGATACTTGGTTATTTTTAAGTCTGTGTGGTTTTATGACAATTGGCACTGCATCCAGTTATTGAGTGTCATTGTTACACCTGTCAAACTTTCTGCATCACATGCTGATAAAGTTGTGAGCTGGGAGAATAAAAGGGTGTCCACATTGTCCTTTTCTCTTAGGCTGTCTCTAACTGCAAAGAGCTATTATTGAAGAGAGGTCTGAATGTACTCCAAACCTTTAGTTACTGCTCTGTTTCTCAGGAAAGGTGCTAGGTTTCATTAATTTTCTTTATTTTTATCCCTTCTGGCAAATCCCAGTTTCTCTTTTCACTCTACAGGAGAACACATTTCTTAAAATTTAGTACTTGAATACGTGAAATTAAAACCTCTGCTTGGCCATTGTGAAAATCACAGTAGACGTGAAACATGGAAGTTGTATTTGTACAATCAGATTTTTGGCCTTTAATTTTGTTGTTCTACAACATTTCACAAATACAGTGGGCAACCTGCACACTTCCATATAGCTGGGTCTGCTGTGCTGTACTTGCTGTAATTTTTGTGAAGGACTCCTGTTTTCTCCTGTGGAGGAAATGATCACTCCAAATGGACTTAGGCTAGCTTTGACAGAAATTTTGAAATAGCAAACTGCACTGGTTCTGAAGGACAAGGAAATTCTGGGAAACTTACTGGAAGTCCATATGTTTAGATACCACAGAGTTCAATTGATTTTAAAAGAGCTGCCAACTAATTACCCATAAGCTGAGTGTGGCTCTGAGTCATCAAGCCAGGATCCCTGTAAAAAACCCAACAACGCAGACATCAGCAGAGGTGTTTCCAAACCTCGTAATACAGGGTGAATTTTCAAAGTGGTTACTCTGCATAGAAAGGATTTGACCAGGTTCCCCTGGTTTCTGATCAAATCTCTCCAGCTTGTACCATGTTACCTTCTCTCACAAAATAACCCTTTGTGTAATCAAGGATTGTTTTGCCTTTGGAAATACTATTTCTTACCAGTGTGCAGCAAGGTGAAAGCACTCCTGGTGCAGCAGGCTGTCTCCTAGAGCTGCCTCTGTGCTGTGGCCTGAGGGTGCTGGTGAGTCAGCAGAGGTTACTGGTGCCATGTGCAGGCAGTGGAACATCCCTGCCTCAGTGGGGAGGGTACCTGCCAGGTTCCTCACAAGCCTGAAAGACTGTGAAGTAATCAGGAAGGAGGGGAGGGGAGAGAAACAGGGAGAATTAATTGCCAAGAGTCAGGAGGGCAGCACAACTGATATCTCATGTTCTCCTCTCTTCACTAGGATGTGGGGTAATCAAGTTGGAGATGAAGGAGCAAAGGCATTTGCAGAGGCCCTGAGGAACCACCCCACGTTAACAAACGTGAGGTAAAACACCGGCAGAGCCAGGCAGCTCGGTGCAGTGCTGGCTTTTCCATCCTGCTGTGAAGCAATGACTCTTCCCACCAAAGGTTGGCTTGGAATGCCATCTGGTATGGCAGCCTTTGCTGTGCAGCCAAGAGGTCCCTGGTGCAAGTGAGAGGCCAGACTCTGTCAAAAAGCCCTGTGCAGCCTTTAGGCAAGTTAAAAATACCACATGACTGGCACCTTTCCTCTGTGTGCACCTCCTTCCCTCATGCTGCACAGAGTTCAGGCATTTGTGAAGGCACATGGTCAGTGGGTGCCATTTTGATCTGGCAGCATTAGCAGGAGGAGGCACCAGCTGTCACAGAATCAGGTTCCCAGTGAGTTCAGTATTAACAGTGTCTTTTGAGAAAGTGCAGTGGCTCTTACCAAAGTATTTTTTAGGCCATAATATGAGGGGCTGGGACATTCTTACATTTGGGCTCATCCTGTGCTCCAGTGGAGCTACACCACCACACATTCAGTGCTAGTGAAGTGTCATCCTCACTGGAGTTCAGGGATGGATCTCAAACCAGCCTTCTGGAAGCCATAACACAGGTGAGGTTGGAAGCACAGCAGAAACCAGCATGTTAAACAGCCCATTCCCTGCTAAGCTTTCAAATGCTGGCTGGGGATTTAAGGATTTAAAGATGTTTTGGAGTCCCTCCACACAGCTGGAGCACTGGGTTCATGGTGACCCTTTCTATATGTCTCCCAGTTCCACTGGCCTCCACGGTGAGGGGAGCAGGCAAGGCTCCTTAGTTTCCCCACAAGGTGGCACATGGCACTAGTTTCTTCAGAAATACTCTGGGAGTTTGGGGATCTCTGGAGAGTTTATTGCTGCCACTTCAGATCCAGGGATTTCAGAGCTGGTGCCTTGTCCTCTTTCCTGCAAGCGGGTAGTCAAGCTTAAAAATTAAAAGCTGAACAGGTGCAGTGACCTAGATATATTTAAACTTAAAAGCCATCTGAAATAGCCATCTTCCCATAATTGCACAATCCATCCAGAGGCATCAGACTTGAAAGAAAACATTTTGAACTTGAATCAGAGCTCAGGGATTCTCAGACGAGAGCATATATGCTGATGAATGTGTTTGTTTGCAGAAATAAAGAGCTGTGCTGTCTCGAGCTTGGGTTTGCTGGCACTTGTGCAAGGTGAATCCTCTGCTTGCAGTGTACTTGCTCTTGGCTCTTGGCTTCATTTCTTATCTCCCACTGGCTAATCTTGCTCCATGATTAGAATTCATAGTAAGCACCTGTGGTAGCTTTATATGAAGACCAAGGGAAGAAAATCCCTACTACATCAGTTTACTTTATTTGCCATTTTTAGGCCCAGTCATGATGGACTGAGAATATCCAGTTTAAGCTGAAGCTAGGAGGGACTCATGCCAATACCTACTTGTGCTGTTGCTCTACGTGGTTCCCCTTTCTACTTTTTTTGAGGCCTTGCATTATTTTGAGAGGGGAGATGCTTTTTGAACTCTGAAAGTCCAGAGCATAACTTTGACTGGATGATTTTGCCAATGCCTATTCAAAGAATGAAGGGCAGACTATTTGTGGTTTGTAATGGAAAGTATTTACAAGCTCATCTCTCCATACACAACAGAAGGTGTTGTATTTGGAGGAAGAATGAAATATTTGGATGCCTGAAGGACTTAAAGGACAAAGTGCCCAATTCGTACATGGATGACAAACACATACAAAAACCTGTGTACTGCTAAGCACAGCTCTTTGTCCTTGTTAAGAGCCTCAACTCTCAAAATTACCGAGTGTAACTCTGCTGTTGGTCCCAAGAGCACAACTCACTGACAGCAGACATTTTGGACTGTTTGATAGACCTGCACTCAGGCTGCAGACTGTGAACTGCTCTCACTTGTAAAAGTTGTAAAGGGCTCAGTGGTTTGTGAAGTATGTGAGTCTTTGAAACACACAAATGCTGAGCTGTACATCTGGGAAGCAGATCATCCAGGATATTCCCTTGTATTTGGCAGTGGGAGAGCCAAGTGGTGCTGCTTCTCATACATTTGTATCCTTACCTCACAGTCTCGCATTCAATGGCATCACGACAGAGGGAGGCAAAAGTATTGCCGAAGCCATGCAGCACAACAACTCCGTGAGGATATTCTGGTAATTGACAGTGTGGTCTCTTTCTCCTCTGCTTCCTTTTCCAGAGCAAAATGCTGGTTTATTTCCTCCAATCCCATCACCCTTCCTACTCTCCTCCTTCTCTCCCTGCCCTCATCCCCTCTGCTTTCCCTATCAGCAAGCTATAATATATTCCTTTGGAAGAATGTGGGCATGAGTAATGGATCAGCAGCACGTGTCCTTTGGGATACATTCCAGTGACCAGTGTCATGCCTCACTCTGCTCCCTCCATCTTGCTTTCCCATCTTCTCTCCTTTCCATCATCTGAAGTCAAGTTCTTTGTCCTCAGTTTTTGCACCTCTTCAGTGTTGTCTGTACCTTTTCCCACTACACCTCATTCACCTTTTAGACACTAAAGCATCATGAGAAAGTATCGCTAGAACATTGCTCAGAGAAATAAAGATCTGATACTCTTGTCTCTTTTACCTCCAGGGCTTCTCTTCAATATCTCTTTGTGTCCAGCCTTTACAAATTGCTCAGGGCAGGAACAGCACATCCCCCTTTGGCTGTCTAAAGCTAAGTCACAGACAAGCTGCAAAAACAGGGGGCTGAAAAATAATGCCAACATCCTAAGTGAACATCTTCTCTCCCACTTAGGTTGACTAAAAATGAGCTGGATGATGAGGCAGCAATGAGTTTTGCAGAGATGCTGAAGGTCAACAAGAAACTGGTGCATTTATGGTGAGTTACATTCCACAGTGGCACAGGCTCTTTGGCAGTCACCGCATTAAAGCTTCACCTTCCAAGTCTATGTAGGTCACAGTAACAGCTTCTGTGCATGGTCTGGATGCAGCTGACTGCTTGTAGACAGTTCTAACGGGAAGTTAATAAAGCTGATGTCTAGCATTTGGAACCTGCTTCCATACAGAGAAAAGTTCAAGCTGTTTCTGGTAACTTTCAAACTAATGATTGATTTCATCTCTCATTAGGGGAACAGTACTGGCCTTAAAATCAAAAGTTGCAAAAAAAACCAAAATCCAAAACCCAAGCAGACAGCTAGAATAGAATAAGGTTATTACAATTCTTTCTGTTTATTATCATGCTATGAAAGTAGCTCTTCAACCAAGAACCTAGGAGGCAGACATTTAGATACGTGTCACATTTGCCCAATGCTTTCTTTTTGGGCTAGCAATAAACTGATGCAAGACACTCATCTCCAAGGCATTACTCCCCAGGAAACCAGGGATTATTTCTAGCAATCACAGTAAGACTTTTTACACTTCTAAGAAAACCCAGCATTGGCTTTTCTAATCCAGAGGTTGCCAATGGATGGGGTGGGCAGATGTGACCTGTAAAAAAAATAGCCATCCATTCATTTCAAGTGATCCAAGGGAACATCAGACATGGAGTCCCTTTGTATGCTTTACAAAGACTTGGCTGACCACACTCTAGCACACTCCCTGTATTAATCCTAGTTCCAACCCCTCAGGAAGCATGCTGGCTGTCATGGGTGCCAAGTACTCGTAGCCTCTTTTGAAAGCAGCAGAAGCTGTGGTGCCCATCACCCTGAAAATGAAAAGACAGTGGGGGAAGTGCTTGATTTCTTTGTGCACAGCTGCAGATATAATTCACTGAGCAGTTTGGGTTGAATTCATAATAAAACTTACCCCAGCCAAAGCAGGCATAGTAATTGAGATAAATGTCTTTGTCATGGCTCAGTGTTGTCCAAGGGTGTCTTCCAGTGGACAAATTCATATCCTGCTTTGTTGATTGCACCAGTGGATACCTCCAAAAGGTGGTGACCTGTATAGATAGTTGAACTTGAGGCCGAGTTAAATTCTCTTTCCAGTAGCTGAAAGATTCTAGTGGATCCCTTTGCATTTTGATTCCAAGTGCAGAAACTCCTTTAATGGGAATGCCTCCTTCCCTCCCTCCCTCCCTCCCTCCCAGATTGTTCAATACACTCCAGTTTTCAGCCTCATACTGAATCCTGAGGGATTCATGCAGCCAGTCACATGGAATGGTATAGCTGTGGGGCTCACCATGGTAGACTGAAAGGTGAGTATTGAATTAAGCTAGGCTGATGAGTATTTTTGTATTCATGCAGATGAGTGGCCTTTGTTCATCTTTAGCTAGTGGGATGGTCTGCAGTGGTTAGTGAAAGTTACCTACTGCTTCATCAGTTTCACTACTTGAGGATCTTATGTATGTTTTTTTTCCTTCCCTAAGCTCAGATGAGACATAAGTTATAGCTGGTAAGTTGGCTTCACTGGAACTTGCACCTGCTCATACCAGAGTCAAAATCAGTGCTTTATCTCCAAAGATCTTGTTGGTCTGATAAGCAAGACTGGAGCATTTGGCAGCTTCTAGATCATAACTGCTAAAACACTAGGCCTACACAGGGTCTGTACTCAGAATTTTCTATACATCACTTAAAAATGTCTCACAGTCTTCTTAGCAAGAAAGCAGAGCTGATAGGTTTGTCTGTCTCAGTCTAAATACCACAGTCCCATACCACTAGTGAACAGCTCATAGCAGAAATTTGTCAGCTGTGTAATTAAAATTGCTCAGTATCTCCAGAAGGCAACCACATGCAAGATTAAAAGGAAAATATTAATACTCTGAGCTCTGTTTCTGAAAGTGCACATGGGGCATTTGACCAATACTGTGTACCACTCTCACAGATAAAATCAGTCATTTTCTTGTGGCAGACAGCTTTGCTCCTTGACGTCAGGCTGAGCATAGGCTGTGCATGTGCTGCAAATTAGTTTGCATGTTAGATTGACATGAAATGCTTTTTTTTTTAGGCTTATCCAGAATCAAATTACAGCCAAAGGGGTGAAGTGCCTCAGCGAAGCTCTCAAGGAGAACACGACTATTCAAGAAATCTGGTAAAGGTCCCTTTCTAAAAGGGTCACTTTGTAAACTTCCTTTCCCTTTAAAACCCTACTGGCCTTACTACTTCCCAGCCTAAAACATTCAGAGCAAGTTTCTGTGAGGTAGGGGTTGTAGTTCCAACTGTGGATTTCAGACAGGTAAAAAGGCACTGTCATTGAAACATTTCCATGTGTGTGTGTGTGTGTTACGAATCTCAGATGGTTTTCTTGGTGCACATATGTCTGTACCACTGATTTGCAGAATCAGGGCCTGAATTTATAGACCCAGCTTTGCTTGTTGTTTTTATTTTTAAACTTCTCAACATGTTTATGCTTTTCAGGACCTAAATGCCAAACAAGCAGGAGATAGTCACCTTTAATTAGCATTGCTAGTCTGGTTCGCAGAATTTGTACCTGGACTTTTTTGGGTGGTGCTCCAAACATACTGAAAGTGCCAAACTACAAGGAGATTAACATTTTGTAGGATTTGTTTGTTTTAGAATAGGTGGGCATCACATAGTCACACGTGTACATTTAAGGCAGAAGGCCAAATACCACATTCTTTTCCTCACCTCAGGGAGCTCAGGAGTCAATAGAACTGAGCTGGTTTTAGCACTGCTGCTTTATTATTGAACATGAAATTTATTTTTAAATATATGTATTTGTTTTAGTGAAAGGACACTGAATTCTTGCTTAGAAAGACAATGACTCACTGTCTGACTGGTGTGTTCCCTGGAGATGTGGAAGAGGTACTTTTTCCAAAAGCCACTGTCAGCTTTTGTCTACAGAAGAGGCATCAATTCCCCCTCAGATCATTCTGAATCTTCAGACTGAAATCTGTCTTCTGATTCTGGCCTGAATGTTCAGAGGCATTCATTAACCCAAGTAATTTCATAAATCTGCATGGTTTAATGGATTTTAACATATCTGAGAGCAGCACTTAACCAGACTGCTCATTTTCAGGGGTGTCAGTATCAATGTAGGTTATCTTTATGTAGCCAGAATTGAAAATTTTGCTATTGGTCATTTCAAGTTAATAATGCCTGAGTACTTCACAGAATTTTCTTCCCATGTTGTCATGGAAGACACAAAATACTCTGGAGACTTAAAATATCTTTAAACCAGCCCACTGCATAGTAAGAACCTTTGTCAACTCTGTGCTACTTGCTGAAATGCAAACAGCTGGGTTTCCAGTGCTGATTTCAGTTACTGGAGCTTAGGTGTGTGTTCAGGTTTTGTTTCTGAGGGAGAAGCCTTGTTCCTTGGATGTGCAGTGGGAACAGCAGTGCTGTATCCAGCCTAACACCCATTCCCAGCTGAGAAGCATGGCATTTCAAACCTCTGCACCAAAAATGGTGCACATAGATGATGGGAAACAGTCACTACCTCACTTTCACTCACATCCCTTTTGTTGTACTCCTCCAGCTTGAATGGGAACCTGATAAGCCAAGAAGAGGCCAAAGCTTTTGAAAATGAACGGCGGATCATTTGCTTTTGAATGAGGACTTTCCCATTTTGCCAAGTTGGTGTTAACAAAGGCTACTCCTACACTTGGACTGCAGAGTTTATAAAGGCATCAATCTACAGTGCTCGTGGCAGGAGAGAGATACACAATAAGCTGCCTTTTTATGAACACACTGCACTCCCTCAGCTCCATCCCTTACCCTGCCTGCTATTTTTAATCCTTTAGCTGAGTGGGAAGTTGCCTGGGTAAATAATTAATGTTTGTTTGGTGCTTTGAAGATGAAATGCAAAGTGTTAACAGACTAAATCCACTGGCAGGTGTATGCATTTTGATAACTGAATTTAGATCTATTCTGTACAGTGATGTAAATAATCTCTTAACTTATTTATATACGTAAATAAAGACACACAAGTATACATAAACAAGAAAGGGTGCAAGATGCACAAACTCCACCAGCTCTGAGTATTACCTGCCTCAGAACTGAAAATGAATATATACACAGCTTTACCAGAAACAGTATCTCTAGTAGTTGCATGGTGTGCATGTTTTGAACACGAATTCCTCCTTCATGCCTAGAAATTGGGTCCCTCTTTCTCCACTGACTACAGGCAGAATTGTAGACAGTGCTTTTTTTTGTTGTTGGGGTCTTTTGGATGGGTAGGAAGGGATGCATCAGGCTCAGATTACTTTCAGTAATCTTTTTTTCCCATATCGAAGCCAGTCCCTTTCCTTTCATGCAACCAGAAGCCGTTACTGCCATCCCTGTAAAACCATAACACGGGCAGTAAAGCACTTCTGCTTCAAATTTCCAGAGGGCTGCATAGAAACGGCTGCCTCCTGTTTCCACAGTGTTTGTTCTGGGGAGGGGGTCTGGAGAGAAATGTGAACAATTAATTAGCAGGCTGTTCATTGCCTTGGCTCCTGGCCTGGGCTCCGTGCTGGTGGCACTACACCAATATCACGTTGCCCAGCATCGGTGGGGAGAAAGGACGATTGAAAATCAACTGCGTCAAGTAGAAATCCCTTCTCCCAGCAACAGGCAAGCACACAGGAGGATTGAGATTGGCCTGGAAAGCTTTTAGTCTATGCTTGAATCAGTGGACAGCATAAGGCAAGGGGCAGTAGTAATAATAAGGACCAGCAAGAAAACATTCTCCTCCCCCAAATGATTATTTTTTAGGGAGTGTAACTTTAGAGGCTTTAAAAGAAATCAGTTAGCAGAGGAGTGGGGTATTTGATTATTTTTTGTGGGAGCTTTATAAACTCAAACTCTACCCCACAGTGTAGAGGGTAGAGTTTGAGTTTATAAACCTAAAATGGGAAAGTGTGAGCCATTTTCCTTCCTTCTCCCCTGTTACCATCCCCCCGCCCCCCTCCCCAAACTTTGAGAAACAATTCTCCAGTTCTGACTAACCCAGAAAACCTTGGTAGGTTGGAAGAAGAATCTCCAGTTAAAATGCCACACCAATGAACCCTCACCTCCCCATCTCCCAGATCTGCCCCATGAAGCAAAGAAAATGCTTGCTTTGTAGGTCAGAGCTTCTCAATTTCCTATGTGGTACCAAACCTTTCCCAGCCCTTAATTCTGTCTACTCCCTTCAGCTCCCTAACACATTTTAAAATACTCACTGGGCTTCTCACAAAACCTACAGTTATAAAGGAAAAAAGGGAAGAAAACCAACTTAGTTATTTTTGGTGGCTTTTCCTCCATGCCTGTGATATCAACACTGATTTTTCACAGGGAGACAGATGAGGTTTTTCAACCGTGCCAGAGGGAACTCAGCTAACTTGAATGATTTCTGCACCTGAGCCATTTGTTTACTGAAGCAAAAGGGCACACAGTTACAGATGAGCTGGATTTCAATTGCCAAAACATCTGCCAAAGCAAAGCCTTTAAAGACTTCTCAGTGACTTTAACAAATCAGAGACTCATGCACCTTGTCAAAGTGTGTTTTGCCAGCCTACTCTGATGGAACAGAGAAGATACTGGTGCAAGGCAGGGCCTTCACAAGAGTTGTAATTTGCCTGTGTTTGAGGAAGTGTGCTCCTACTTTGCTCTAATCACAGAATTATTTGCTCATTTACTAGGAAGAAGATACGTTTAAAACTACAATTCCTGTCCTTGTTTCACTAATTGACTAAAATAGCTTCCCACAAACTTTCCAGTACAGTCACATCTGCCCTTTTTTTGGGCTAGAGCAGCCTTTGGCATTATTTGTAGCAACAGTCTCAGCCCCTCTTGCAAATCTTGTTCCATACCTGGCTGTTACAAGCTGAGCATCCAGGGGGTGTTTTCAGGGACAGCAGCATTTATGGGTCTGCAGCAATTAAACGCAGCCTCAGGCTAAGTGGTGGCAGGATCGAGCCCAGCTCCATGTAGGACAGAGTTTGGCACTGAACAAGATTACAGTGCCAGAGACACAGCCAGTCACAGCCACTCCTTCCACTGATTTTGGGCAGCAAACGCTTGTTTGGACTGGGCTGAAGATCCGAGCACAGCTCACTCTGGGTTTAACAAAACCAAGGGGTTTCCACAGCATCCCGCTCCCAGCTGACCCAGAGCAGGGGGTCTGTTTCACAGAGCACATCACAGCTCTGGGAGTCATGCTGGGCAAACTGGTTGCTGCTCTGGGAGCAGCCAGACATCCCTTGTTTATCTGCACAGCATTTCTGGCTGAGGCTGTTCCTGGTCTTACCAGCCTATTTGTAAGGGGCATTGGAGCAACACTTCTGCAGCTTGCAGGGAGAGCCTTGTTTACTTAGAGACAACTGTAACTTTTTTCAGACTTGTTTGTAATTTGCTGAAGCCTTCTCTGTACACTGTGTCATGTTTTCCCACTCGTCCACTGTGACAATAAACAGCTTTTTAAAGAACAAGCTGCCTGCAAGTGCTCGGGCTTTGCTGAAGCCCTGTCAAGCAGACGCTTGGCTGCATCAAGATGGGACAGTGACACCCCAACTAATTCTGGCTGCAGACAAGAGAGAGGAGCTGCTACAGCTGGGGCAGGCCTTTCACAGCTGCCACTGCTCATGAGGAGCCCTTCCAGCAGCAGGTGCAAATCCAGTGGTGCCTCAGAGATGTGCTGCAGCCATGCTGCACCCCTGGAGTCCTCCTGCCACACTGACTGCAGGAGCTCTTCTGCTCTTCCACCTCCTGCTGCTGGGGGCAAAGACTTGCTGGCTTGAGGTGTCACCACTTGGATTAGGCTGGTGCGAGCTCTGTGTGTTTCCTGGTGCCAGATGACGCTGCAGCCCTCAAGGAAGCCCTGCTGTGACACAGTGCAGTCCTGCTCCAGTTGAACACTGCCAGGTCCTCAGGAAGGGGTGTTTGTCTGAGCCTGGTGTGGCTCACTTGGTGTCACACGTGTCTCCAGGTGCCAGACCGCAGTTTAGGACTTGCAGGGTGGTGCCAGGCCATGCAGCCTTTGCTCTTCAACCACAGCCAGGGCAGGATCCCAATCCCACCATTCCATGCCGAGGGAGTGGTACTGATGCTGAAAATTCAGCAAGACACCTGTCGCTGTTGACCACATTTCAGAAAGACGAGACACACTCTTTTCAGGAGTGAAAAAAGCTTTAATTTTCACATCCCTTTATATAAAGTTTTACAAACCCTCTTGTGTCTATCTCCTGTTGTAACAAGCTGTTACCCCATGGTAACTGGACATGGTGTCTACATGCAGGAAAGGGTTGTTTGTGAGATACTGTTTTCATTCTTAAAGCTGAGACAGTTGGGATTGTTGAAACAGGAGCAGGAAAACAAACTGTAGAATTCTTTTGCCGGGAAATAAGTTGTTTTTCACTGCTGCAGGCTTCTGTTTTCATGAAGAGATGTTCGCTTTCTCAGGGCTATGTCGGGCCAAGTCAGGATCCAGTCTGCGAGGCCTTGTACAGGCCTGCTGTTTGTCACCACAGACACCCATGCCTGCTTTTCTGGAGCTTCACTCTGCTCCCTTACCTTGTGTCAGCAGCCAAAAACAGGAGCCCACTGCAGAGCTGTACAAATGGCCACAGTCAGGCTGCATCAGAGCCAGGTGAACAGCAGCAAGGGATGGGTTTGCTGTGAGGAAGGAGAGGACCCTGCAGAAACCACTCAGTTTTCAACTGATGGAACAAGTAATCTCAGCACGAAAAAGCTGCAGCTGTACACAAAGGCCTCAACTGGTGCTTTAGTAGGTAGAAACAAACCAGCAGGATTGTGCTAGATGAAAATGGAGGCCAGGCTGGGAGCTGCCAGCTGCACTCAGGGACTCCAGGTTTACTCACACGAGGAGGTTTCTCCTTGCTTGCTGGAGGCTCTCAGTAGCTCTGTGGGATAGGTCAGCCTTCTGAAAACACAGTGGAGCTACTGGGCCGAGTCCTTCCTCACTTGCCAGAGTGGGAACAAAAGGTGAGAGGATGCAGGGAGTGCCACAGGTGCTGGGGGAGTTTCTCTTCCATCCTCGGAAATTGCTGATGGAATCCCCTGTGAATCTTGACAGGGCTGAGGTCAGCCAGTATTCATTTTCCCCTCCCAGAGGTAAATGAGAGCTGATGGCATGATCTGCAGAGTTTGAAATAGCTGCCCTCAGGTACCATAGGGGGATGTGAAAACAAGGATGATGCTTCAGAGAAAACAGCAGCTTCAGCTTCAGGAGCATCAAGGCATGAGAGGTCACAGCAGATGGGTTAAGGAATAAAAACTGGCCTTACTCAGCCAGGGGCAAAAACTACAGTCATTGCTTTATACTGGGAAAGCAGGAAATGGCCTGTGCCTTTTGCAGACAGGGAGTCTCTGGGTGATGCACTGGAAAACAGCAGGTTTCGGGCAGTGCTGATGCCACCTCACCTACTCGAGGTCAGCACCTGCAGGGCTCAAGCAACCCTTTAGAGTGGCAGTACACAAATTCCTGCCACACACAGGGCCTGCAGCTGCTGCTGGCAGGGGGGCTCCCAACAGCCCCAGGAGGCTGCTGATGGTGCCGTGCTGGTCTGAGAAAGGTGCCACGCTCACCCATCCCAGCTGGCCCAGGAGGTGGCTGCTGGTGGCACGGCTGAAGGGCCACTGCCATGGCTGGAGCCCTGCTGCAGAAGTGTCCCCCTTGCTCCCGTGGGGCAGGGAGCCAGAGCTCCAGCTGCAGCAAAGCCCTTGCAAACAACTGAATTATGCCCAGCCTCTCCTGTCTGGGGATTCCCCTTATACACTGAAGGCAGCAACTTCATTAGCTGCTGAAGCCTCGCAAGCCGGGAGACTCGGACCTCACGGACTGGAGCAAATGAAGCTGTCAAGCTTTCATGCTCCCGTTACCTGCCAGACACTTTAATCCTGAGTTTAGCAGATGTTAATCCCGGCCCGGGTGATTTGTGAGGAGGAAAACTGTGAGGAGGAAAGCTGCTCCCTTGAGAAGTTACCCGGGTCCGCAGGGGAAGGGAGCGGCAGGGAAGA